AAAAAAAAAAAAAATTTTTCCAGAACCCTCTCAACATAATCTTTAAATTTAGGGGCGGACATTAGCAACTTTTTTTTTTTGTATGGGGACCGACCCAGTCTAGTGTACATGTGGCCACCATGTTTAACAAATGAAATTCAATTTTGATTAAAGCAATTTGGTAAGTGTCAGACAAAACAGGTTTAAGAAGGTAGTAGTTTGGAAATATTTTGAAGAGGGTTGCCCCATATTTAAGAATTCCAATTAAATTATTTTTTACCCAAGTTATGTGAAATATTAAAAATGGAAATCAAATGAAAGAGTTTTATGAAATTTATGACAATTTACAATATTTTTGATATATTTGAGGTTTGCCCCAGTTTAAAAGAATAAATTAAAATTATTTAATAAATTAAATGAATTACTAAACGATGGTTAGCAATGGGGTTAAAATCGTTTATTTCAGAACTATATTTAGAAGGATTGCCACGTGTTTAAAAAATAAATTTCAACTTAATTCATCAGTTAATTGAAATATTTATAACAATGTCATACGAAAAATATTTAAAGAAATTTTGGTTCGAAAAAAATTGTCTAATTAATTCATCAGTTAACTGAAATATGTATAACAATGCCAGACGATAAACAGATTTTAGTTTGAAAATACTGTTAAAGGGGTTGCCACCTGTTTGAAAAGTTGAATTTGTTTTACTTATAAACAAGCTACGTAAATGAAATATCGAAACATTAGTGTCAAAAGAAAGAGTTTTAAGAAAGCTTTAGGCTGATAATATTTTTAATTATGGTTGCCATCTATTTTTTTGAAGGTCATCACATCTGCAACGCTGATTCGAATTTCCAAAATGAGAAGTCAAATTAAAGAACTCGGATTCTACATAGATGTGCAATAACGTTTTATTTTTTGAAGTAAGAGTTAGCGGTACAGAGAGATTTGAAATTTCATGAAATGAAAACCGACACCATACGATACCTCTCATCACTCAGAAATGGTTGAGATAAACCATCAAGAATATTTTTTGATGTTTTTGAATAGGGTTTCACCAGTTGAAAAAGTAAAATTAAATTTTGGCGTTGCAACGGAATGCGGGTTCACTAGTGTCATAATATTATTTGCGATGGCCTACTCTTAAGTCGGTCTTGATCTCTTTTAAGTTCAGTTAATCTAAGCGCCATTTTTGTGGTTGGGCCCTTAATGAAGACTTTTGGCGGCTTTAAGGGGCGGCTTCTCACAGCACCTAATAAACCGCGGCGTGGGAGTCCCCGCACCCTTCCAATTATTTTCTGATTTCTACTTTTATCCAATATTTTCCACCAGACTTGAGCTCATAAGGTATGCTCCGTCGCATGGCTGTAGTATATAAACCATGAATGATATGCGGTGAAAACCTCAATTTTTCGCGGAAAGCCCCTTTGCAGGTATATGATGCTGCTAGGCCTTTTTGTGCTCCCTCCTAGATATAACTCACCTGATCATGGCGTTGTCGCCCGATCTGCCCTTGTAATAGGAGCGCTGCGCTATGCCTATTGTGGGGATGCTGGTAGTTCTCCCTTATAAATAAAATAATTAGCAAGTCAATATGAAAGTTTTATTGGCCCAAAATTATTTGCTTTTTGCATATATGTATGTAGGAATGAATATAAGTTAGTAACTTTCAGTTTGGTCTTAGAAAATGTTTGCAGTTAATTAAATCAAATTTTAAACTGACAAAATAATATGGTAATAATGGCGGAGTGTTATAAGACCATAGGAAATAAGCCATATGGCTTTATTTCACTTCACACTGAGAAATAAGGCCATATTTTTGGGTATGGTCTTATTCCTCACCTTGAAAGTGAAATAAAACTATTATGGCGTTATTACAACTTTGATACTAGTTGTCTAATGTAGTAAATCTAATTCATTTTGCTACCTATATTATCATTCGGAGGCGGAAGCATTTAAAAGTTATTAACAAAAACTCTTTATATAATATTGCTGTTTTGTATAATAAATTACACGGTCCAAAATGTACTTAATCACCGATACTTTTGAAACAGTAGAAAAATATTATATTATTTAAAAAAATTATTCAACAAGCACATGTTTTTAACGACAAATATTTATTTTTTTTAGTTTTCTTCATATTAGTCAGTTCTTCTTCTTCCTACTTGGCTCTACAACTGTTCCTAGGTTTGGAACGGGACCAAAAATCCTGCTATGTACATCTATTCTTTGCAACGTTGCGCCAATTCTGTTCTTGGTACTTCTTCTGTGTTCGTGGGCGCCCTTTCTTTTCGCGCAGTCGAAGAATATTTTCACCGGATCCTCTTCAGCCATGCGGACAATATACTCAAGCCGGAGCAATTATTTTATTTTTATGCGCTTAGTTAGCTCAAAAAGCTCACACAGTTTATCATTCCATCTTCTTCGGTAGCCGTCGCCCACGCGTTCTCGAAAGCCCCCAAAGCGTTCTCATTCGTACGTCATCCAGCGTTGCCAGGTTGACATTTTTAACGTCATTTGGACGTTTTTTGTAGCCTGTTGACTTTTGGACGTCTTTTGTGTAAAAATTACGTTTTTTAACTTCCCAGTAATTTGTCTTTGTTACTAAATCTTGTAAGTAGAACTGATTTCGAATTATTTTCTTAATAAATCGTTCAAATCTTTGTGTTTTCCTGGAGCTGCTTTAAAAAATATTTATTATTTGGACACAGATGACTTTAATATGAAGCAAACCAAGCGTACGCGCATTATTTTTTTTTTTTGATTCTTGGACAAAGGATCCCATGTTTAAAGGCTGGTTGTGTAAACACTTGAGGTTACGAGGCTTGTTGTAATGTTTGCAATTGCACATTAAAAGCCAAATCAGGAAGAGCCGATCTATTGCAACACTCACACTCGCAAAAGCAACAAGTAGGGAACTTTTTTAATTATTAAAAATCAACGCGATTATTTAGCCCCTTTAAACTTGAACATTATTGCCTTGAAATTTAATAGGCTATCAAACTCAAAAAAATCTAAAAAATCTGAATAAAAAGTTGAAAATCTAGCTGAAAATTTTCAGATTTTTTATAATTTTTGCACAAAGTTTGAAATGTGGAATTATATTTTGTTTGTCATATAATGAGATTGGTTTTTATGGACAAATAATAAACATTAAATTAACAAAAGAGAAATAGCCAAAAAGATCAAAATGTTGTTGACTTAATCAGCTGTTCACAAGTGTATGCATAAAATGATTTTTATATTAACGATCTCAAACCAGTTTACAATGAATTTTAAATGTGCTCTGTCGATATGAAATTTTAATATACCTTACGTACATATGTACCTTTGCATACAATAAAAGTTGAATAAGAACAATTTTTTGTACATTCATTTATAAAAAAGACGTTTCTGGGTAGGAAATGACGTTTTTTCAGACCAGACTGACGTTTTGTAATGCCGAAGACTTGGCAACACTGGCGTCATCGTCCATGTTTCTGCGCCATTAAAAGGACGGGCATGATAATGGAAATTTGAATTTGAATTAATGGCAGGGTATTTTCCCTAGAACTTTGTGTTTGGCCGTTACTGAAAAAGGAAGCGATTTTGGTATGACCATCAAAGTCAACAGATATCTGAAAATTGTCATATACGGAACGAAGAAATATGAAATTAATATACAATATTGTGCTGTGTCATTTTTGATTAAAAAATGCGAGAATTTACATTACATGTATTTTTTTCCTTTTGGGCGTACTTTTTCCTGGATTTGCCAATATGCCAACTACACGCAGGTACAACGGCCGCTAACTACAGCAATATGCTCTTGGCCATTATATTGAACTTGGGCGTTGTTCTAGATTAAATTTATTCCCACGTCTACCAAATCAAATATTTATTTTATTTACATAATGTACTGATACTTGTATATAAATACCACGCGACAGACAACTAACAACTACCTAAAAACCAGTTAGAAATACCACATTTTCATATCTGTAACTGACCAAACCAATATTCAACTTGTTAGATACATAAATATGTATGTATGTATGTATTTACATTACGGTGACCCAAAAAAGTAAAGTTGGAATATTAATGCTCTAACCCCTTTAGGATTGTTCTATACGGAAAAATACACTCCTGTTTTTTACTTTAAAATGAAAAATATTTAGAGGCTCAAAGTGTCAAAGTTGTCCATGTATTTTATATGGGTGGAAACAACTTTTCGTAGAAATGGTATGAAATTCTTTAAAATCAATATTTTCGATCGCAAAACTCGGTTTCTCTTCACGAGACTTCCAATAACAATACCCAATATACCATTTCCACGAAAATTTGTTTTTTCCCCAAATAAAATAAATGGAAAACTTTGAGCGACCTCTAAATATTTTATGATTTCGAAATAAATAAACAATGGTTATTTTTTCGATATAGAACAATTCAAGGTGGTGAAAGCATTAAAATTCGGACTTTACTTTTTTCCCACATGCATTTATGGACTACCCTAATGTGCATACCTATTATGTATATGTACATATATAACTGCCTTTAGTGCACAGTAGGTGACTCACGTAAAACGTGTTATTGTTATGTTTCATGCATTCATTATTTTAGTATTCTGAAATTCGCACAAACCTTTATTCCAATCAATAATTCCATCTACATATATTACAGATTCTCATCATCCTGCTAATTGCCATTAACTGTTACTCCAGCTGCGGTGCAGCATTACGTCGCACACCAAAAGTCTACAACGCACTTATTACGACCGATGAGAATCTGACTTCAAGCCGCGCCTATCCCGTCATACAGCCCACCATACATGAGAGTGGCCTAGCGCATTACCCCTTCGGCCCGTATAATCCCTATGGCTTTTACACGCCACCGCTAGTGCGTTTCGGTCAACCAATCGTGCCGGGTTTGGCTCCAAATCAACAGGTAGTTAAATACTTAATTTTATTTGTTTCAAAACATCATCATTTGACTAATGTATCTAAAATATTTGTAGTTTCCTTATCCATTGCCACAACAACGCTTTCCACCGCAATTCATGCATCTAGCGCCCCCAAATAGTGGACCGCAGCTTGTGCCGACACCCAATGCGGCTGCGCAGCAGCCCCCTCCGCAAGATGGCTCGCCAGTGGAAAGCACACCACCCACCGCGCCACCACCAACTGAAGAGCAACAACCGGTTCAGCCGCCTACTTTGCCACCACCTCCAAAAAATCCTACTTACATGCCACCACTTGAGCCGATTCCTCCCAAACAGGCGCCTCATGAAAAACTACCAATTCCTTTAAACGAATTTGGTCTACCACCATCGCTTATACCCTTGCAACAGTATCCAAATCGCAGCCCCAATGGACCAGTGGCATTGCCACCGTACGCTTTCAATCAGTATCCGCTTATCTATGATCCCATCACCGGTTATCGTGAGCAATATCTACCACCCTACGAATATTTCCCCAGTCACCATCAACATTTTGCATTAGGCGGCGGTCCACCAGCCGCCCCCAAGCCATTAGTACCGACACCACCAACGGCAGAGGCCAGTGTACCGGCACCGACACCAGCATCGTTACCACCACCACCAAACCAACCGCCACCGCCAGCTTCGGACGAAGAAATAGCGGCGAGTGAACCACAGCCCCAGCCTGAAGATCCGCCACAGTTGCCGCCTGCTGTCGGTTTCGATAGCATAAAGAATGCGTCGAAGAACAAGAACAGCGCTGTGCCTGATGTGCCGCCACCGCCAATTCCATCAGGCGCCAAGACGCAGCAATCTTAATGCGCCCGCATTATGTAGAAGTTTTGAAGTAATTTTTACTTGGCTTAAAGTTCGCTAATCGCTCATAAACAATTAGGAAAATTCTTATAAGTTATTATTGGTAACGAAATACTCGAATTAATTTAATTTATTGTTAACAAAATTTTTTGTAAGAAAAATTATGTGTTATGTATTTTTGCATTTAAATAGTTTTTACATACCCCTTTATTATATTGGATTTATTGTAGTCATTAAAGCTTGATTAATGTGTCGTATTTATTTAGTTTCGAATATTTGGTGGCACAGTCGCTGAAGGTCCGTTCTAATTTTTTCTAAACAGTTGAAAGTCGATATATCGAAGTTAAATTAGAATAAAAAACACTATTAAAATCGAATGAAAATTTAGAAAAATGAAAATATTTTTATAAAAAAAATCATTCACAATCCATACAATTTTTAAAATAGGCCGTAATACCTAGAATCAAACTGTCTATATAGTACCCTTGATTGATTTGTTTAAAATTGGAATATGGATACTAATCCGGAACTCTTACGTTGCTGCACTGCGTAAACAAATACGCGGAAACAGAACCACCATGTAAAAAAATTAGGAACTTTTCGTTAACTTATGGTAATTCCGTTTCTACGAAAAAATTTCGGCTTTTGATTGCCCCTTTTGCTTTTCGTGTTCGATTCTAAAATAAAGGCAAACCGGCGATAAAGTTCTGTGTACGTTTTTCAAAATGTCACACTCTAATAGGGCAAAAAAGACACGTTCTATGCCCTTTTAAACTTTGTATGGCTTTGAACTGGTTGCTTGAAGCGAAAATAACTATACACTTTTACAGGGTTGAGTGTTACACCAAACCAATTTTGCACCTTGGAATGTAGAACCGACTGTCTTGGTAAATAATTAAAATAAATAAAGTTCAATGATTTATGGCGTTTTATGGAGAAAAATTTTAAGCAAAGGCAACTGCTTAGTTTTTATGCATACGGCCCATTATTTCGAGAAAAGAATACGCTATTAAAGCATAGACAGATGGCAACGTTGATCAGGATTAACGCCGCAATTGATCTGATCAAAATTGTGCCTTGACAGACGGCAGTAATGCGGACTAACGAGCCGCGAGGTGGTAGGTTCGAATACCACGGCCAGTAGAATATTCATTTAATTTTTTTTATTGATTCAATTATAACTTCTATATTTTTTTTAATTTGTTTTTGTTAGTTGCTTTTGAGTTTTTTAGTAAAATTAAACTCCAAAAATTTAAATTAGCTAATAATAAAATAAAAAATGTGAAATAAAATAAAAACAACGGATATAAAATAAATACCAATTAAATATATAAATCAAATAAAATTTAGAAAAATAAAAGAAATAATAAAAACAAAATTTTTTGGCAGTGGCTTTATTTGCTCAGTTAGCGTAGAACACAAAGAAACTACAAAATTAGCATAGACATCCACCCTGTCGCCGGTAATGCAGTCACCGAAATAAGTTCTTATTCATTTTAAATTGAATACCTATTTGAATTAGTATGAGTGACTGCATTACCGATGAAAAGGTATATATATGTCCATGCTAATTTTGCATTTTCCCTGTATTGTACGCTCTCTGAGTTTTGGTCAGTGTTGTCATCGAAAATGCCCTTGATCCGAGTTAAGTTTAGGAATTAACTCTAGGACTTAATCCGGATCAACTGCAGTTAATTCCCGAGATAATTCCGAATTAACGAGTTGATCCGGATCAACGCTGCCGTCTGCTTATGCTTTTAGACAGAGTTTAGTAAGCTGCTATAGCAACAAAGTGAAACAGTGAAAGATTTTCGTTCGGCTTTTCATTTATTGTTTTCTGCGGTGGATAATTTCCCAGTATTCAGATATAAAATTAAAAATATAGATATTAATTAAAAATCTTCTCTCTCCATTAAAAAAAAATAAAATATTTAGAATTTTCAGATTCTGGTGCTTAAATAAGCTATGTGAACATCCGGTTTATTCAACGGTAAAAATCCGGTTTTCTCGGTATTCGAAAATTCACAGCTTCAACAAAACTACCTAAAAATATTAAAAAAACGGTTGAAACATGTTTAGAAAACCCGTGTTAATCACCCTAATTACAATACTTTATTGCACTTTAGGTAACCCCGACCGGCTTTTGTCCTATATGAACTCATTCAGTAAGCCTTCCCGTAATTTCAGACCCGTAGATTAGATTATGTACATTAGATTAGATTTAGAGGAAGGAGCAGGTCTCCTAGTTACCGTGACCGAAACGATCTATTGTAACAAACCTTCTTCTTCTTTGAACCATGTATTGCAATGAAACCTCGCGAGGTCCTCGGCTGAATGCCATTTAGATCGTGTGCTTCTAGGTACAGTGATCCTAGGAAGCGAAATCTAGTACTAGTGAGGGCTTTATAATGGTCTCTGCTGTTTCCTGTTCTTCGTGACACAACCTACACTGGTCAGAGTTAACAACTCGTATTTTATTACCCTAAAGTAGCCTGTAAGAAAACCTGTAACAATTCTTACTTAATGCGTAATGTTGCGCTTCGTTCTTCATCCATGTATAGGAGTTTCGCCAAACGGAGCTCCATGGCAGACCAGTAATGGGTCCTGGGACTGTGTTCCGGTACACATATAAGTTAAATCCTCTTCCTAGAGGCGATAAGTGGCAATCCCACATCAGCTCTGAGGTGATCTCGTACGCTTTAAGAGCCGCTCTCCCCTCCTCCAATATAGTAGATGTGTTTTTTGGTTGCCCCACTTCCTACCTACTGCATCGTATATAGTTCAATGGCGGGAACCCTTATTATCCCAGTAATTTGATCGATGCCGATTATGATAAAATTGTTACAGCAGGAGGTTGATGCATGCTATCAACTCCTCATCGCCGACCTTGAATATTTCAGGTGACGTGGTAAGGACAGCCGGGTGAAGTCTTACCTTACCTTTTCCCCTTACCACTTCCCTGCCGAATCTCCCTTACTTTAACAAAGACGTGGCCGCCTTATGTAAGTAGGCATTTAGAATCTACATTTGGTATCAGACATACTTCTCAGCCGCTTTACAATGTAAGTTACGTATAACGCAGAGCAGTCGCTCGAAGTAGTTCGGTGCTTGGAAATAACTTCGGCTGTACGTTACTTTGCAACTGCCAACGTAATGTGTCGTCGGAGGTGTTCATTTTGCGCTTTACTAGTAGATGACATTGGCTATGATTACAATTTTGGTCCTAAAAACTGAAAGAAAACATGGCTTGCCTCGTAAGGTGCTTACCTATTTTCCTAGTGGGTATATATATAGCGAAGATGCGGGTTGTGATTTCAGCTTTTCGAAGACGAATCTTCCTTGCATATTTCTGAAATAATAAGGAATTCCTACTAATGTGTCTGCATTCGCGCAACGTGGAACTGGAAAAGTGTAACATGCAGTAACAAACCCATATGGAGTCTTCAGTAAAGGCAGACACGGAGCGAGCTTTATTGGAGCAATGTTTAAAGGACTTTGATTTGAGAGTATGCACCTGGAATGTTCAGACCTGTCCTCGGGAATACTAGCGCTTACATCACCGCCATCAAAGAAATTTGATAGACGTGGCAAGGTAGGAAAAGCATATCATTTATTTTGGAACGAATTTCCGTCATGCCTTGTCAAGCATATCAGGCTAAGGCTAATTGACTTGGACCGGTGCTGAAGCCTGCTGCGCTAAATCCCAACATTAAAGCATCTTCAGGCAGCAAGACTCCATATCGGCAAACAGAAAAAAAACACGTATTTACATATAAAAATTTTAAGGCGGATGAGCAATTATTGGCCAAATTCAAATTTCAATTTGTGGGCGTAGAGGTATAGCTGAAGAACTTTCGTCTGCGTCATCCTCTTTCATTTTCAAAAATAAAGCGTGGGGTTTTGGAAAGTCTTGTATACGTAAGTTCCGTTATTTCACAAAAATTTTTGTTTTTTGGCTATACTCTTAAACCTTCTCCGTTCCAGTTCCGTTACATTTTGCAACCATTCCAATAACCAATGACTGTGTTAAGTTTTTCGAGACACCTCTGGGGATTTTCTGGGTTGTTTTTAGTTCATCCGGTAACTTTAAGTTCCAAAACTACATTCAAATCTCACCTTTGCTTTTCATGATTGCCTGAATTATACCGTTTAACAAAATTTGGTCGTATTTTATCTTATAGATTTTTTTATGGAAACATTTTGTAAATGCACTTCAAATCAGCATCAAAAAATATATAAGATGAGGTCGGTCCCGTTTTTTAGATAAAATACAAGCAAATTTTATTGAACCGTGTTAAATTTTATTGAATAGTGTATTGAAAAATTAAAAGGAAAATATGGTATGGCTTGATATTTATTATAAAAAAATGCATACTCGTTATGGCCTCTGGCAACTCTAAAAAAATCCGTTTTAGCTCCGTAACTAAGTAGTCTAGTTGTTTAAAATAATTTGAATCACTGCCGGGTAATTATTATGATTGGGGTTAGTAACCTCTTGCAACAACATTTCAAATCCCTAGGGTCCAAATTATCACACCATATGCAAGTATTTGCAGAAGAAGTATGTAGATAATAGATATTCGTAGCTTTCTATTTTATTATTCTTTATTCAAGAGGAGATAATGAACTTTCGATTTCAAGTGCGAGTATAAATTCCAGATGCCCTTAACAAAAAGCAGAATGATGCAGAAAAGTTTAGTTCGACTTGCGTACGAGTATGTATGTACATTAGGGTGGTGATTTTAGGGCCGTGATTTTATTGCTCTCCCCCTAGGATTTTGCTATACCGGGAAGATATATATATATATTTATTTAAAGTCACGAAATATTTAGAGGTCACCCAAAGCGCTCAAAGGTCTCCATACATTGTAAATGAAAGAAAACTAAAACTCTGTTTATCTTCAGGAGACTTCCAATAATAATATCTAATTGTTTATTTTACCATTTTTTATACTAAAGATTTTTGGAGGCTTTTGGGGGACCTACAAAACTAGTAATATTAGAAAATGGTTGATAAAGAATTGAGTTACTGAAAGTCTTGCGAACAGAAACAGAGTTGATCGGTCGAAAAATATATATTTTCTAGAACTCTATACCATTTCTATATTTTTTTTTTTTTACTTTTTGATTTCAAATTAAAAAAGGGCTATATTTTTTACGGTATAGAACAATCCGAGGGGTGAGAGTATGAAAATTCCGACTTTATTTTTTTTTTACCACCCCAATGTACATATATATGTATCTATATACAATATGTATTTAAAATAATTTGCGTATAAAAGTAAAGAAGCAAGCTGATAGGACGTTTTACCACAACCAAGTTTCAAACAAAATGAAGTGCATTATTTTGTTCAGCGCGATCGTAATTTTAGTAACGCTTGCAATTGGTAAAAAAATCAATCGCGGAAACTACCCTTCATAAAAATAATCAATATCCTATTTGATTTCAGATACCAGTTACAGTTCCGCTGCGACTTCTAAGCCTTTTGTACGCAGCCGTTATAGCAAACGTTGGCGAATCGTATTGACCACCGAATCAAATGCTAGCAACAACACTTTAACAACAGATCCTCAGCATGCTATCGCAGCTGGTATGAAATTCGGAGAAACGACTACAGTGAACAACATTGCAATCGTTGGCGATACTACGACTATTGGACACCCTGTAGAGGTGCCCAGTACAAAGTCAACTGATTCAAAGAGTACGCTTTTAAGGGGTCCACATAGCACCACAACCGAACATCCTAGACACCATGGGCCAAATGGTTTGCCATTAGACTATGACTACTATAGTAATGGTAGTGAAAATGAGGAGGAACCAGGACATAAATAAGCTGTAAAAACCCGTTTATATAAATTGAGTGAAAAGCGAAGTCTTGCTTAATAGCAGTAGAGCAGCTGAATTCTTTTTTTCACATTATTTGATCTCTAAAATGTAAATTTTTTTTGATTTCTTTTAACAAAAATTTTAAATTGACAAAATCCATTTGCATGTTAAACTGTTTTTATTCAAAAGAAGCAATTGAAAATCAGGTTTTGGTACGTAAACAAATTTACCAAGAAAAAAAGTTCCAGCAATTTTTATTTTTTAATTCCTATGGCACCTTTTGATCTTTAAAAAAATGTGAATAACTTTTTGACGCTTTAGAGACCAGAAGCAACATCAAAATACAATTTTGCTCCATGAACAAGTTTTACTTCAAATACTTTAGCTTCCGAACACTATTAACAGCAACTGGCGGCCAATTCCTGTTCATCACTTTACATAAAAATACGATTCTGTTTTCAAATGTAAATTAATTTATCAAGAATTTTTCTCTGTGCAAACTTTTTTTTCACAAATTTTGTGGCTGTGCAAAAGAAAAGTTGGCCGTTTTTCTCAAAACCATCATCTTGTGATGAAGAATATCATTGTCTTCAACTCCCAATAATTTACCAAATAATTATCTGCTAGATGTTAATGGAATAGCCTTTAATGATCGAGAATCGCTTAAAATAATATAACGAAACGATAAAGTGAAACAATTAAATTTTCACTGACATTGAATTTTTGATTTTCACGGTTTCATAAAACCAGAATTGGCCCCCAGATTTGATTTTCTTTGTCGATTATCGCAAGATGCACGAAGACGATGATAGACATGTGTCGACGTCGCAGCAAGCAGCATTTTGAAGCCCAATTACATGTGTTTGGAAAATCAGAAAATGCCCATCTCTGCTTTAAATAAATAACCTACAATAAAATCCGCTTGAACCCGTAATTTTTAATTAAATATTCGCTGCGATTGTAAAAAAATGTTTATTTTTATTTTTATTTTTTATTCAAACTCAAACAATTTGTGTGAGGTTTGCACTATTTATTTAAGTGGCGTATGTCGGGAACTGTACTGCGTGGATATCGATCAATATCGATTTGCGCGACTATACATATGTGCTAGGGATGTTTCGAATGTCATATTTTTCGAATGTGAATTTTCGGAATGCGAATGCGAATGATAGGAATAACATTAAGTTTATTACTTAAAAATTTTGTAAATATCAGAACATTGAACTAGTGCTTAACCTATACATTGTTTAAATGTAGTAGTCAAAGTTCAAAAGGGGCATATTATATTTTTTTTAATTCTGAACATTGACATGCGGTCCATATTTTGCGCCGATGGATATTAGAAAATCGAAAAATTTCTGTATACCGGTATCTTCTACCATTTTAAACGAACGGCAATTTCCTATCACCCATTGTGTTAATATTTTTGTTCCAGCAGGTTTCAAATCAACACTAACTTCTGTCTTCGTAATAGGTATATTGTTTTTTTTAATTTTTATAACACTTATGCCGGACAAGGTTAGAGTGCTACTTCTATATATTCCAACAAGTCCTGCATGCAACGATATTTTCTAGTTCTACACCTGCATCAGTCTTAATTTTCCCAAAAATACTCCAAACAGTGTCACGTCCCCTTTTGTCGCAAATTTGGTACTGCTTACTCAGAATTATTGACTTAATTTCAGCTCAGCACTTCTGGACCATTTAAAAAGCACTATGAAAAATAAAAAATAAACTTATACCCCTATTCTGCAACACTTTCGTATTCGGATTTTGCTACGAATCGGGGAAATAGTATGCTGCAATCAGAATCGTATTTTCGAACTTTCGAAATTCGTAACAATTGCATGCCTAAAAACGAACGAGTAAGCTTTTTTGCGTAATTTTGTACAAAAACAATTCTGTGTCGGAGGCGAAATAAAAGATGTAAATCGATGTGTGTTTGCAGGAAATATTGGTGGTGTTCATTTAAACAGATAAATTTGCCTTTCACATATGGGTGTTTCCATACAGCCGTACGTGACATTCGTACGCTTATAGAGTAACGTAAATCTATCAAAAATAGAAGTTACTGAAAAAGAAGATTACGGTTATGTTGCAACCAAAGGGTACTATGTTTGAGAAAAAAATAAGCAGCCTCGAAAGTTTTGTGTGGAAAATATCCGTTCAAAACCAAGTGATAACGTACGCGACAAAAACAGAAGTGGTTTTAAGGCACATATACATATATGCGAAAGTCTGCGAATCATGAGAGTTTTTCTTTTCTTTAAAAATTCCTAATCTAAGCTAAATAATGTACCTTTACAATCCTTCCATTTTTTTATAGAAATTATCTCTGGTTAGTTTTTATTAAAAAATATTATAATAACGTACGCGACATAACGTACGCGACAGATTTTTCTCTCCACCGTTTCGCGTTTTCAAAATCTTTTTCCGCCATCTGAATACGAAATTTAAAGTTATAAAGCCGCTTGAATTCATTTGCTTGCATTTTCGGTTTACATTTTCATGGAAACATCCTAAACTAAGCTAAATAATGTACCTTTATGTACAATCCTTTCATATTTTAACAGAAATTATCTCTGGCTAGTTTTATATTTAAACAAGTAAGAAAGTCTAAGTTCGGGCGGAGCCGAACATTAAATACCCGGCGCAACTATTAAATATATGTTTTCCACCTTTCCGAAAGCTACGGCTACATCCCAGCCAGCAAGAAAACGTACATTTTACGAACATTATGTTTTACGAGGGATTCTCGAATCGCCAAAAAGTTAGAGAAAAGCTCGTAAACGATAAAACAAAAAAATATAATAGAAAGAGGCTTGTAGTAATTTGTCAGCACAAGAAAAAATTTTAGTTTTGTTGACAATTTTTCTTCAATCACAATATTTTATAAGTATGTAAGTAGTTTGTTAAATATTCAATTTAAGAAAGTTATTAAGTATGTGACTTATTGGCAGACTGGTGCAAACGCAAAGGACGATCTACCAAGAAGCCCATTTAAGGAAAAGCATGCATTTATGGAATATGGAAAAGACCTTGGGAGTTGAAGTGAAAAACAACAATTATTGGTAACTAAAAACATAAATTAATCATGATAAAATAATTTTTATTGCATTCTTTAAGCACTTTATAGGTTTCTGAACTCGAAGCTATAAATATTTTAAATGTAGATAAATATTTAAGAACGTGCTGGCGGAAAATTATTACAGATGAGGTAGCAGAACTTTTCTCGTGGACCTTTATACGTTTGCCGTGGTCGTCATCAGAAAAAGGGGGTCTCATCCGAGGCTGTTTGCTTC